TCATCTCATCTCATCTCATCTCATCTCATCTCATCTCATCTCATCTCATCTCATCTTATCTCATCTCCTCGTAACGCTTATGCTCTCATTTCCTCTCATCGTATCTCTTCTTGCCTTCTATACTCTCATCTTCTCTTATTTTCTTTTATTTTGTCTTCTTTACTCCATCGCAACTTATTTAATCTTATATCTGCTCATCTCATCTCATGTCATCTTATCTTATTTCTACTCTTATATTCTTTTGTCCTATTTTGTCCTTATTGCTTATCTCTTCTCAACTCCTTCTTATTTTATTTTTCCTTACTTTCTGTTTTTTCCTCTTTTTCCCTTCTTTTTTTCTATTTTCATATCAGTTTCTAATTCCCTTTTTCTTGTATCTCGTTTACAATTCAAACATATTTTCTTTACTTATTTTTTTTATCTCTGTTCACCTCTTTTTCATTTCTGCTTTACATTTTAGCATTTTACGCTATATCTATTTCTGTACTGACTGCCAGCAAAGTCTTTGAATCGAGTTTACTACGAATTAACTTATAGGCGCATTTATCGTAAGGATCTTGCTGAATCTTATGTGTATGAGATTAGCTCTTACTATCCCTGCACACCCGGTTTGTCCTACTTCAATTTTAAACAATAAATCTTCTTGCACTTTATTCAGGTTATCCTAATATTTTCTAGGGCTTATCCTATTCTTGGTACTCTGCCCTTGGCCTCTTATTTTATGCCAACAAGAATGGTCGTCTTAAAACGGCTTGTCTAGTGATATACTTTACTCTCTTCTCTGTTCCTAAGGCTAAATTTTTCTCATATTTAAAATTATTATAATATATAATAAATAGATGAATTAGTAAATAATAAGAGACAATGAGTGCTAGAGATCGAGACAAGCCCATACCATGTCGAATTCTCTGTGCGTCTGAATACACATGAGGTCTAGATTTGATTGTCTTTATCTCCGGGGTGCATTCCGACTACGATACCAATGCAATTAATGTGTGACAAGGTCGCGTTAAGTCTATCTCCCTTCTGATAAATTTTTTCCTATGGATACAAATAAAAAAATGTGTTTAAAAGATTCTTTTTGAAAATTTATGCTGTTGAAAATTTTGACTAGTTTTACAAGGAGATTGGAAGGGATTGATAGTTTGGCCGCGTTGGAAACCGCAAGAAGATCTTCTCTGTGTCGTCTCCTCTCTGACCAACGATGTCCTTGGCGCTCTGCTTAGCTCCGTTGGACCATTGTCCGTCTCATCGTGATAGGCAACTTTCAGCTCATAAACCATTTCTTCTCCTTCCAACAGGATTTGGTTTCGATATAAAAGCTACAACACCATGTTATCTCTTAACAGCTGTATGGACGAGCTCCATTCTGCCTATTCAGAATGTTTAGGGCAATCTTGCTGAAATCACAGGAATTCTAGCTCTGACAGACCTTCCATTAAGGAATAATGAAAGGAACATGATGCAAATTGTTATTTATTGTTTGGTCAAGGTTAGATACACCAGCTAAACTGTGCAACAGTGCTGACAGCACCACTATTTTATTTGCCATAAACTCAAAACTTCCCTATTTTGAAATGGAAATGTGTATGTTTGCTTGTATGGGAATGCACAGACTCAAGTGTGGCAGTTTGGACTATGAGTGTAAATGACTGAGTGGGAAGTCCCGTGCGCGTCTGGTCGGGAAAGTGTTGCAGTCCACATTTTCACTATTTAAGGAAGCCGAGTCTTCGCATGAGGCAGAGGAAGCTGTCAACACACGCCATTGCAGCGGCTCCGAGCACGGCGATCTGATAGGTCGGTAGGTTAGGCAGAGCACCCCGAGGGGTCCAGTAGAAGTAGTAGCAGCCACGGGAGAAATAGTAGCCTGACGGGGATAGGGTGAAAGGGTAGATGTGAAGTGTATGAAAACGCGTTGGGATCATTGTGAATGGCCGAACTGAACTCGGCCACGTAACACCTTTAACCAGTGACTCAATATGAATTCACGACTCGTCCCAGCAGAGCCCTCCTCATTTGTTCTGTCCACTAGGGTCCCTAGAATGCCTTAACCTTTGGTTGCAGGTCGAAAGTATGTCCACAATGAGAGCTGTTTCCTCGCATTTTTTCCCCCCTACATTCGTCTTGATAGCTTTCAATGACGAAGGAAGCCCTAAAGAGCACAAACTCTCAGCTTTAGTTCTATTCTCCCATTCCGACCAACTTAAGCTTGCAATTAATCCAGCTTGGTCTCAGAACTTACGCATTATTGACGGGGCTCTCTCCTACCGCTATACTTCGCTCTTGTCAGACAATAGGGGAGTGACATTTGTAACTTTAGAAGATGTATGAAGACCAAGATGGTGTGGCTTTTTGTGTGGTCGCAGTCTCCTTTCGTTGTATAGAGGTTGTTTGACCTTTTTTCGCAACATGGTCGTATTTGTAGGAAGACTTAGAGGTTCGAACCTTGTCCGGAGTTCATTGTCTGCATGATCGTTTCCAAAATTGAACCGTGGACGTGGCACATTCTCAAACGTTTCGCCGGCATAACAGTCAGGATCGTCAGTGAGTTTTGCCATTCGTAGCACCACACAACAACTCGTCAAAGAGACAAGTGAAGCCGATCCTTTTACCAAACATGTGCTAAACAATTTTGGTATCTCTCCTTCTGCTCTGGGTTATTCGCGTTTCCGGTAGCATCCTATTATGCCTTCACTATTACAATTTTTAGCCGTGTTTATTTAGATTGTGTGATGTGCTCCTTTGAGCAACATGACACCTTCATGATAGGATGCTACCGGAAACGCGAATAACCCAGGGCAGAAGGGGAGATACCAAAATTGTTTAGCACA